TTTTTTTTAGTCTTTATCTTGTGTGTCAACTATGGATTTTTCATAGTTTGCTTCTAATCTTTCAAAGCAAAAATAGTAACCTGAAGGATGTAATCCGTTCACACTAGCATATCTTCTTACAGTAAGATGACTAACTTTATGTATTTTACCAGCTTCTGTTACTCCCTTGTACCTAGCTATAAAATTTTTGTTTTTATCATAAACAAAAACACCTTTTGTAATTTCAATTCTGCTTCTTATTTCTTTAGCCAATAAGTCACATTCTGTAAGGGTTCAATCTTTTATTATAGGGGTATCATCAATGTTAAAAGGAATATTAGTAAAATACCATTCTCCTCTAAACAATGCTTTACTTTTTATATAATTAACGATTGTGGTACTATTCGCACCAACCTTTTTAGACAATGTTCTTACTGAAGGATAAATAGCTATTAAATTTTTATAGGAATCGTAAATGTAAACAGGATTATATGATTTATTTTTAATGATTTGCCTAATACTTTCCATGGTATGACTTTTACCGAAAAAAGGATTGTTCTGACCTGTTAGAGCTTTTACTATTAATGCCTTAGTTTCAGGTGAATGTACCCGATTCTTAGCTAAATTAGAAAGAAGAGTTTTAGTTTCTTCCGTGTGTTTGTACCCTAAAGAAGAATAACCCTTTTTTAATACATTATAATAAGGAAGAATTTGTGTAATATATAGAGTTTCTCTTATAGCTAACTGGTCAGAGTTAACATACTCTAAAATTCAAAAAGAAAAGTTAGAATGGCCATACTTAAGTAAAGCCTTTGTAATAGGCATATTAGAATTTGTTTTACTTTGTAGATAACTATTGTTAAGATAGTTTTTCATTCTAGCAGCTAAATTTATAGAACTTCCTACATAAGTATGGCCATTAATGTTATTTATTAAATAATAAACACCTGATACCTTAGCACATTCTTTAAAAATTCTAGCTCTATCTGATTTAAGATCATCATATACCTTTACAGGTTTTAATTTTCCTTCCTCATTATAAATATTATCACTATCATTCGCACACGGTAATAGTTCTCTAGGGGTAATATCTCTAGGGCTACAAGTACTACGTCAAAAATATTTACTACTACTACGCATATCCTCAGCTTCAGTAGAAACGTACTTTATTAGAGGAGAGCTATTAAGTTCTAAATTGGAATGATTTGGAGTATATTTATTTGTAAAGAAAAATGAAATTAAGAAATTTATTGTGTGGACTATATCTTCTCACAATACTAATGCATAATACATTAGTCTATGAGGACTACGTTTAGTCTCTGGGGTGCAAGGGTATACTATTCTGTTAATAATACAAACAGAATAATTCACCAAGTTACCTGCTGATTGTACAAAATATGAAATTTTTACTATCCCTGCGGGATGAGCCCCATCGGGGNTCTTCCCAAAGGGTAAGCCCCTCGGGGCTAGAGATATATTTAGTATTCCTATTGTCAGTACTTCCCAGCATTTAGTAGTGCTTATAACAAGTATAAAAAGTATCTTATAACTTGCAAAGAGAGCTAAGTGGCTTGATAACCCTCCTATAGTAAACATAAATACAAAACCTAATGCAAATAGTAATGATGGTATAAAGTGTAAAGAACCACCATAACAAGTTGCTAATCAAGAGAATATTTTAATACCAGTAGGAACTGCAATAATTAAA